CGTTAATGGTACGACAAAGTTTTATAAATAACGGTTATTTCACCACCTCGGAACTCTAGTATACGTCTAGTACATATAGTTCTGTAATTAATAGGACGCCGCACTCGGTGCAGCACCGTGTTTCTAGTAACTAGATAGAACTTTCATTATAACGTGGCATGAACGCGCGGCGTTTCTTAGAACGCCGGTTTTCTTTTAATATCCAACCCAAACCAAAATAAAATGCAGGTCAGAATCGTTAGCGAAAACGTTATGTGTCTAGCTGGGTATATTACCTGCACCCAACGAGTGAAGCGGATTCCGTTCAACACTCGCTGTGGCCTCATGAGCGCGGCTATGCTGTCTACTCACACCCCGCACCCTCGCCCAGCCCAGCCGCCCCCGACCTCCTATAGTTTCTGATATATCCGCACCGTGCACCGGCCGGACCCGATTGATCTGCGCCTGCTGCAACACATGGACAATCATAAACACTTGACATGCGAGTCTTCCGCGCACTTGACAAGCTCGTGGTCTTGGATGCGGATGAGAAGACCGCAACCCCGCGGGCCGGCCGCGTGCCGGAAAACACGGCACTCACACTTACGTTGCGGCGGGGTGGTTGATCAGTCTGAAGCGAGTCTTGATTGCTCACCTCGCCCCCCCCAACGAATCAACAGCAACCTCGGCTCTCTTGCACTTCTTGTTGATCAATCTGCGATCAGCTCCCCTCTCGCATTACCTTTGTTGATTACAGAACCGCTCCCCCTCCCCAAGTGGATGCCAAGTCTCCGAATTCTTGGTGATCGATAAAACTGCGCATCAGTGGGGCCCCTCGCTCTACCTCCTCGCACTTGCGATCCGAGTCTCGATTGCTTCGGAGCCGCCGGTGGGCCCCGCCCCCCACCCTGAACGCTGACACCCCCCCCCAACGCCCTGCGTGCCGCCGCCCCGCCGCGCCTCGCCCTCGCACCTTGCTCCGGACCCCCTCACCGCGCACTCAGTCTTGCCACCTTGCCTCATCCTCAGGCATCAGCTCATCGCTTCGCCTTACACCACCCTGCCCAACACGGAGTATAATATCAGCTCCTTCGACCCTCTCGCCCTCCAGCCCTCGGATCAGCTCTCGATCTACCCGAAGTCCCCACGCGCCTCCCGCTCCCCCCGCCCAGCGGCCCGGCTCACCCCACCAAATCGCCCGCCCTCGCGTGCGCCCCCCCTCCGCCCCCCCTGCAGGGCCACCCACACCAGATAGTCTTGTTGATCAGTTCTCGATTGGCCTCCCCCCCCCACGACCCCCCCCTTCCGCCTCAGAACCGGGCCTCTTGCCAGTTTGCTTTAGCGCCCTCTAGGCCCCATCCCACGTCGGCCTCGTTGCTTGCTCGCACGGCCCCTTGCTTCCCTGAGCGTATCAGCGCTCGACCCTCTCGCCCCCTGCTCTGGGGCGCCCCCGCCGCCCGACTTGCCTGTAGGCAGCCGCATATCCACGTCATAGATTCACCCCCAAGACTGGCCACTCCCCACCCCCGGCCGCGGCCCCCCCCCCCCCCCCTCGGCCCTCCGCCCGCGCCCCCGCTCCACCGGCCCCCACCCCCGCCCGCACCCCCCCCGCCCACCCCGCCCCCGCCGTCCGGCCCCTCGCCCGCCCCCTCTACTTCACCCCTCTTAGGCATGCACCCTCTGCCCCGGCCCCAGCGCCGATCCCCGCCGCGGCGTAGACTCCTCTCGGCCCCCCCCCCCCACCGCCCTGCAGACTTGCATTTCAGGATAAGTCTTGATGAATTTGTGTAGATTGATGGATTAAGAAATCCAAGAAAGCAAATAGAGGATCCCGGCCCGGCCGCGTGTAGCCCCCCGCGCGGGCCGCCTGCCCCCACCCTGGGCCCCTCCCCCCCCCCCCCCACCCCCCCCGCCCCACCACCCCACTCTCTTCCACCTTTCCCTTAACACAGCCCATCGTTCCCCCGCTCGCACCCCTCTCTCCTCCCCCGTCTCCCTCATCACCCCTACCACCCGTTCTACATTCGCAGCTCTGTGGCTGTGGCCTCCTTTAGCGCATATACAACTGTGGAATTTCTGTAGTCTGCTAATATTTTTCTGCCCTCTTCCAATGGCTACTTTATTGTCAAAGTTTGCAACTATTCTCTCACGTAGTTCGTCTCCTCTGTCCCCATACGTCAGGAATAGACTTTATCTCCACCTGCCATGGAAAGAATGTAGGAGAGGTGTTCAATACCTCCTCACGCATAATTGTTTCGATTGTATTCGTATGTTAGCGGTCTAGAATTTAGCGTTCGCTCTATTTCAATTACTACTGTCAGTAACTCATCATAGGTCAATTTTGCATTACCTAGCACTTTTCTAAGACATCGTTTGACATTGCCTACCATCCTCTCAAAAAATCCACCCCACCAGGGTGCTCTCTCCAAATTAAACTGCCACGTAATCCTTCTTTCTTCCAAATCAGTTTGCACCCGTGGATGCTCATAAAGCTCCCTTAGCACCTTATCTGCAGCCTGAAAGGTTTTCGCATTATCTGACACTATTAAGCTTGGTGTCCCCTTCCTGGCTGCGAACTTACGCAAACTTCGAATGAAGGCTGTTGCTGTCAAATCTTCTACTAAGTCTAAGTAGATTGCTCTTGTTACACAGCATGTATACAATACTATGTACACCTTTTCCATGTTTCCTATCTTTCCTTTTATAAAAAGAGGTCCCGCAAAATCCACCCCTCCTTTAGAAAATGCGGTGGCTTCCCTTACTCTACACTCAGGCAGTGGTGCCATTGGTGGTGTACTACAGGCTTTTCCCTCTAACCTTTTACACGTCACGCATTTCCCCACTACTTTCTTTACAATTTGTCGGCCCTTTGGTATCCAACATTTTGATCTTACCTCCGCTAATGTTGCTCTTACACCACTGTGATGCACTCTCTTGTGACAATCTCTAATAATCAGTTCAGTCAACTTGTGAGCCTTCGGTAAAACAACTGGGTATTTTGCCTCAATTTCCATATTTGAGTTGCCTAACCTACCTTTGCAGTGCAAGATTCCTCTTTCTTCTACCAACCCTTCCCTTCTTACGTGTTGCTTAAATTCACTCTGTTTCCTCAAGTCTGTCTGTGCTGACTTGAACCACTCTTTCTCAGCCTCTACCAATTCTGTAACCTTTAACATTCCTATCTGCTTTACCTCACTGTCATTCTTTCTCTTTATATTGAATATAAAGCGCCTGACCCAGGCTGTCACTCTGTATAGCCTTTCTAGATTACTGTATCTGTCCAGGTCTATCACTGCGGCAATATCTTGTGGTTTATCTATGGTGGTGAACCAGACACCTAGCTCATCATGTCCGCCATTCCCATCAACCTAGTTCATCTCCTGCCTGGGACAGAGATAGTGAAGGTTTATACCCACTTCAGGACGGCTAAGGAGGAGAATATTCGAGTTCTGGCAGATGCGCGCTCAACTCCCGAGGAGAAGTTGGCGTGTACTCGCTCGATAGTGGTCTCTGCTGCTCTGCAACTACTTCCCCGAATTCTAGTGTCGAACACCATCACCGTAAACACTGCTCCCGAATCCGATATTACCAAATTGGAAGTTGAGGGATGCTTGAAGATAGGTTTTGCGGCGCTCTGTCACCTAGCCAAACCGATAACACCCCAAAATGTAGCATATCTGGCAAGGCGCTGGAGCGCGGCACAATCTGTCCTTAGCCAGCACGGCATCCAAGTCGGCGCGTATGAATTGGGACCTTACGTGCTGGAGGCCCTACGGACCATTCCGGACCTACTCTCCATTATCCCGCTAGCATGCGCTGCTAGGTGTCTTCTAGATTCCAAGGAGAATGAAGAAGACATCACCAGATCTGCTCTGATGATGCAAATGGACTTAATCTATCATTCATCTGGTATGGTTGCTATCGAGCAGGTGGCCACTCTGCTCGAAGACGCGGTCAGCTGCGCTATTGCCCTTAAACAAGTGCTTGGTCAGGCTGAAAGGTTTAAGGAGATTTACCTTCGTGTGAAAGCAGATATAGGCCCCGCAGAATGGCCGTACACTCGTTCCCTCCATCCAGCGAGGCTGAGAGACTTAGACTCGGTAAAGTTCCCGGACCTCTACGAGGCTGCGAGGCAATATGCTATATCAGCCTCTGGATTTAATGCAGACAACTACGTCACATCAAACCACCCGACATCTGTTCGTACAAAGGTTCTTAAGAGATTCACCAAGTTGTCTGCCTCGCCTCTCGGCGATACCTCGGTGGAGCGGTTGGCTCGTATCTCTAAGCTCGGCTTCAATGCCGACATGATAGCGAGGGCTGTTACCAACGCTCTGAAGCCAAGGCGAGGAATCGAGGATGATGACAGCGACTAACTTATGCAACTCTTGAGCGCGGCTCCGAAAACGGTATACAAGAAAAAAGTAACAAACAACAGCGAACCCAGGCCACAAGGACACCAGATCGCTAGAGGATAACAACTGTATCAAATCATCATGGATAGCATCGCCACGCATGCTTCAGCCGACGCCGCAATGGCAGGCCGCCTAGAGAAGCTCCGAGGATCCGGCTCGAAGGACCAAGTGTTGCGAAATCTTAATCTCGCCTGTGCCGGTTCCATCATCTATGACACTCTTTCATTGATACTGAACAAAACACTCTAAATATATATATCACTTGCTTTATTTGATATACACTCTCCGTACAACCGTCTCCGTCTACACTCGTTTCCAATCTGCCTTCCCTATCTTGCATTCCCCGTACCACTCTCTCTCCGTCGCGAACCCCGACCCCACACACAATGTAGCAATTATCATAAACATGCATCTATAAAAAGTCACTCCCCCCTACACGTCATCGCTCTCACGCCGGCGCCGCCGCGCCGAACTCATTCTCCGTGATTACACATCATATATCTCTACACATTCACAATCTACATATCATCTGATATCATCAAGAGTACATATTCATACAATTATACATTAGGCTATATACGTCTACATGATATTTCCCAACATCACTTGGAGCCGGTAGGTTTTACAAGAACCGTGAAGCGATGTGTCCAGGAGCCACTGAACATCAAGACCATCGCTACGGACAGACACGTGACAATCCGATGCGTACTGAGGAAGGAGTTTCCAAATATTACGCATCAGTTTGACGTGTGGCACATGGCAAAGTGTATGTACAGGACCAATCACTACAAAGGAATTTTTTGTCTAGGAATAGTATAATAATCGTTATTTTATCATATTTTTCATTTAGATTTATTGACTTAGGTGTTCAGAGAAAACTCCTAGCCGGAGGGGAAAGGAAAAACTGCAACGAGGTTCTGCCATGGGTGCAGAGCGTGATTATTTCACTTATTTGCTCCTGCGAAGGTGATGAGGACCTCATGAAGTATATATTTCTATATGTTATTTACTAACTGCATGAGTTTTACGCGAGTTGTGTTGTAACATGCAAGGTTTTATGCATACGGTTTACTTCACTGACTTGTGAGGCAATTTATTTTACGTACAAACACATATTGCCAAGAATGTGTTAACAGTGTTAGGATACACAATATAAGTGGTACTATACATTCTATCATCACCATTGCAGAAAGATGTGGATCTCGATACTGTGCCACGTCGTCAACAAACACAGTTGGAATTATGGCACAGTATTTCACAGGTGTGCGCATGAAGTGAGGGCTGATGACAGCAATACCGGCTATCTGCGACCAGGGTCGTCCGCGCACAAACTACTCCGTCAGGTGGTGATGGACAGGCGGCTACTGAGTGACATGAGCCACCTCCCGGAGTGCTGTCACACCGGCCACCTAGAGGTCTACCACAGCCTCCACCTAAAGTACGCCTCAAAGCGTATACACTTTGTGTATAAAGGTATGTGACTAACCAGTGATAAAAGTAGATCAATTAGTAGTGCTGTCGTTGATGGAAAATTTAATGAATATGGTCTATATGTTAGTATTTTATTATCTTTCGGTGCTGTACAAAATTATACTGGTTACTGCTTAGAGCTCCGACGTTCAGTCTTACTGTACGTCAATTTGAGCTTGTATGTTGAGAGGCGACTGGGGCCTTGTCTAGATGCAAGTTTCACTTCCAGAAGCAAAATGTAACTGCATTGTTTGGTAAAAGGTTAGTTTTGAAGTTAATTTCCGACGTTTTGTTAGTTCACGCGTGCAGCTGAACTACATCGATATCGGTTCATTGTGTATCAATGCATCATCGGTTGACCAAAAATTGCCATACAACGATATCGCGATTTTCAATGACAGCACTATCAATTACTTTTGTTGACCGCTTCTTACATACAAAATACTTGTATTTAATGGTATGCTTGCAAGAGTACAACTAACAGCCCTGGACAACAACGAAAACACTAATCGTGCGCTTGTTCATGATGCTGAGGGCAACCCAATTTATAGGCAGGCATTCAGTAAGGCCAGGAAGAACTGGATCGTAAAAAACCAGTACAGTACTAAGACGTACCGTTTCCGCCATGGAATCTTGGGGACTGCCCTGGATATGCTGAAAGGATGTATGTACATACTATTTTACTCTTCATATAATTGTCCTATTTTTGTCTTCCTATAAATGTATGTACTTCATTCAGTCACATGTAGCAGTTCACCAAATTTGCACTCATTGCATATTTAACAGGTTATTCGTCTATAGTTACAAGTTATGATTAGTAATTCTGAAATGATATCTTGCTTTAAAAATTAAGGTGAAGAGGCAAGATATGCCAAAATTCCAGCATTACCAAACAAGTGCCGCAGAGCGACAGCGCTCACCTAACGGCAGATGTTCTGATGCTAAACTCACTGGCAAACGAATGAAGAGCACCCTCCCATCACCGCGTTCGCGCTCAGAACATATATCTAGGATGCTACTAATACAGATCTAAAATCTATGATAGCTGTTGCGAAATCTTAATCTCGCCTGTGCCGGTTCCATCATGTATGACACTCTTTCATTGATACTAAACAAAACACTCTAAATATATATATCACTTGCTTTATTTGATATACACTCTCCGTACAACCGTCTCCGTCTACACTCGTTTCCAATCTGCCTTCCCTATCTTGCATTCCCCGTACCACTCTCTCTCCGTCGCGAACCCCGACCCCACACACAATGTAGCAATTATCATAAACATGCATCTATAAAAAGTCACTCCCCCCTACACGTCATCGCTCTCACGCCGGCGCCGCCGCGCCGAACTCATTCTCCGTGATTACACATCATATATCTCTACACATTCACAATCTACATATCATCTGATATCATCAAGAGTACATATTCATACAATTATACATTAGGCTATATACGTCTACATGATATTTCCCAACAATAGCTAGGCTTTGCTAGACCGGTAGTACAGTAAAAAGATACAGTGTGTAAACGATTAAGTGACGTGCGATATTAACATGTTATCATGGATATGCGTTCGAGCGGCGGATAGTCGGTGGTGGTGGGGGGAGAGTGGGGGAGGCGCGGGTGATGGGGGCTCTAATAGAAAGCAGTTGCAAGAGATGGCGCGGCAAGTGTCAATAATCAAAGAATGGTGGTATTCGCGATAAATGTTTGCGTTGGTTGTGCGAGTGCTTACATAGTTGCTCGCATTTTGCGCGATCCGCAGTTATCTGGTAGCTCGAGACCGGACGGTCCGTTATTTGGTCAACGGATGGTGCCGGTTCTGTCGTGGCAGGGAGCTGTGCGGGAGCGGGTGCTTTTCAGTGTCAGCTTGCCGGTGAATCCTGTCAACGTCTGAGTGGAGTTATTTCTGTGATGAATGCGAGATTAGTTAAATATTTGGTTTGGTAAGACAATTTATGTTCGTGAGATTTCAGAATGGTAAAATGGCTGTCGAGCGTACGGTACAAGTAATTTGTCGTTTATCGTGTTGGCGTTGTGTAAGATACGTTACTACCGAATATTATGACTGTTCGGTTGATGATAATTAGCTATGCTTGATGTAGCCGATTGATTTAAAGTAGGTCTGGATTGATAGTCTGATGTAGAGTTCGTGTATTCGTTGCGCCGGGGAAAATGCAAGTACCTGTTAATCTGTTGATGTAAAATTGATGTGGGGCCCGCGGAGACGTATTCGAGGAAAAGGCTTTCAGCGTCTTGTAAGTATTTGGAACGGTTGCGCGGCTAAGGTTTGTAGCCGGGATATCGAATACAAGCTAAATATATGTCGGCAAATATTAGTGTATCAGATACCCAAGGCACTAGATATATATGTTGGATATTTAGGGTATCAGAAATACCCAAGCTATAATATGTCGGAATATTGAGTGTATCAGAATACCCCCTGGTATCATATGTCGGAACGTTTGTCGTGGGGCGCAGAATATGTGTTACGTGTAGTGGAATGTTGCCGTAGGGCGCAGAATACCCCAGTAATATATGTCAGAATATCCAAAGGTTCTATCGGATGAATTAGGAGTGAAATGGAGACTTATCGCGTGTGCAAAGTTGTCATTTGTTAACAGTGTATCGGTGATACCTATGTAATGTGCGACTTGATTTCATTATTGTGTTTGTGTGTGTGAATTTAAGGTTTGTAATTTCTATGTGTTACAGTCTACCCTTACGCCACGTCACGCGTTACCATCATGCGTTACCATATGCGTAGAAAATAAAATGGCTGGTTGAACTGCAGCCTGAGTCTTCATCTTCTTCCTCGTCTCGGCGGGCGCACATCGCAGTAGAAAAACGCTGTCATGGAGTCTACCTTCCATTTCACCCTGATTAACCGGACGTAGGCAAGATCTACACTTCAAGATGGCCGAAGCAAGATCAGAAAGGACAAAGGCGAAACGTGCCCTGACGAAAGAGATAAATTACACGCGCCAGTTGTTGGCAGAAAATAGGTTAGACTGCGTAGACAAACAGTGTCTGGCGTTAAATACCCAATTTCAGAAGTTTACCGATATACATAATGTTTTTCATGATGCTCTTGTTCGCGATGCCGATATTGATGATAGCGAAGATTACTACTATAAGGAACAAGATAATTATATTAAGGTTTTGGAGCAGTTAAAATCCGCCTCAGTTAATGTAAGTGACCCAGTGAAGGTAGAACTAGAGCAGGGAGCTGCGACCGGTGGGCTGCCGAGCGATCTGATTGCTTTTCTGAATCTGTCAAAAGTAGAGTTAGAGTATTTTGATGGGGATACCTTGCGCTATCATCAGTTTATAAAATCTTTCGAATTGAATATCGATCAAGTGTGTCTGGATGCTAATGTGAAATTAACCCGCCTGGTGCAGTACACCAAAGGTCCTGCCAAAGACGCTATCCGCGGCTGTTTGTTGATTGGTGGGGACAAGGGTTACACACAAGCCTTGCAGATTCTGAAGGAACGATTTGGAAACCCCCATTTAGTAGCAGAGAGAATCATTTCGGATTTAAAAAGACAGAAACCTGTCAGGTCCCCCAAGCGAAGTTCAGCAGTTGGCCGATGACTTAAGAAATGCAGAGTTAATTTTGAATCAGTTGAACATGCTTGCGGAAGTCAGCTCACAGTCCACAATTCTTGATATCGTCTATCGCTTGCAGCCCTATGTTCAGATAATGTGGAAGAACCGTGCACTGGAAATTAAGAGGGCAAACGGGTATTACCCTGCTTTCGCTGATTTGGTTAAATTTGTTGCCGAACGGGCTCTATAGAGCAATGATCCGGTATATGGGGGGTTATCATTTAAAAGGGAAACCGCAGGTAAACCCAGAGTCCAATCTTCTACGTCTCATGCTATGTCTGCCAGTGCAGGTGCTAATGGTGATTCAGCTAGTGCTACAGCTATGCGCTATAATGTAAATTATGCTAGGCCACAACCAGCTTGTGCTCTGTGTAGTGGATATCACAGGTTGTGGCGTTGTGAGTTGTTTAAACGTATGTCAGTTAAGCAGCGTATAGATCTGGTTAAGAAGCGTAGATTGTGTGAAAACTGTCTTCTGCCTGGGCATAGTGCACACAATTGTGGGAAAAGATCAGTGTGTTCTGTCACAGGTTGTGGAAAGAAACATACTATGTATATTCACAATGTTGGTGATCAGTCAGTATCTGTAAACCCAAGCAGGAGCGTGTCAAGTGCAAGTATGTCCTCGGACAGAGAAACGTATATGCCCATTGTACAGGGATTGGTTAACAATAAGGTCCTAGTCAATGCACTACTGGATACAGGTTCTAGCAACTCATTCTGTTCGAGTAGTTTGGCCAATCAGTTAAACTTGACAGGAAAGACAGTGTCATATCATTTGAACACTTTGTGTAAATCAGCTCCAACGAAATCTCAGATGGTGAATTTATCATTGTTATCCGGTAATGGTGAGAGTTTAGACATGTCTGGGGTATACGTGATTGGTCGCTGTTTGAAAATTCAGTGGATATGTTACTCGTCGTACGTCGCACGGGAGACAAAGAGAAGCTGACATTTCCTTGCAGAAATGCAACACGAACGAACTGGGTTTCCTTTCAACCGTTTGGACATTATACAATAACACAACGCAAGGTTCAGAACATTACTATCTAAACGATCACGTGTCTACACACAGTCGGGCATCTCCCGACGTGCCTTACGAATCGTCTATAACACTGGTACACCCATAACACTTGTACAATAATTCGGAATATTAGCGTATATCAGAATACCCAAGTTAATATATGTCGGAATATTAGTGTATAACAGAATACCCAAGCTAATATATGTCGGAATATTAGTGTATATCAGAATACCCTTGGTAATATATACGGAACGTTGCCGTGGGGCGCAGAATGTGTTACTGTCATGATTGTGTAAACACAAACAAGATATTTAACCTTATGTAGATTCGTTTTATTCAAGAAACGTAGCTGAACTGAACACGAGATTACAAACCGCCATGACGAACTCCCGTAGCTTCCCCTGGCTCTCCAATATCTAACTAACAGATAGACAACTCAGTAATCATTATGACAGTTACGTGTAGTGGAGTGTTGCCGTAGGCCGCAGAGTACCCCAGTAATATATGTCAGAATATCCAAAGGTTCTATCGGATAGGAGTGAAATGGAGATTTATTGTGTATGAAAAGTTGCCATTTGTTAGCAATGTACCTGTGATACCCATGTAAACGTGCTGCTGTGTAATGTATAACTTGATTTCATTATTGTGTTTGTGTGTGAATTTAAAGCTTGTAATTTCTATGTGTTACAGTCTACCACATCACGCGTTATACCATCACGCGTTACCATGTCTACGTGAGTAGAGCATGGCCATATGCGTAGAAAATAAAATGGCTGGTATGAACTGCAGCCTGAGTCGTCATCTTCTTCCTCGTCTCTGCGGGCGCACATCACAGTAGAAAAACGCTGTCATGGAGTCTACCTTCCATTTCACCCTGATTAACCGGACGTAGGCAGGTTCTACACTTCAAGATGGCCGAAGCAAGATCAGAAAGGACAAAGGCGAAACGTGCCCTGTGTTGTTGGCAGAAAACAGGTTAGACTGCATAGATAAACAGTGTCTGGCGTTAAATACTCAATTTCAGAAGTTTACCGAGATACATAATGTTTTTCATGATGCTCTTGTTCGCGATGCCGATATTGATGATAGCGAAGATTACTACTATGTCTATAAGGAACAAGATAATTATATTAAGGTTTTGGAACAGGTAAAATCCGCCTCAGGAAATGTAAGTGGCCCAGTGAAGGTAGAATTAGAGCAGGGATCTGCGACCGGTGATCTGCCGAGCGACCTGATTGCTTTTCTGAATCTGCCTAAAGTAGAGTTAGAGTATTTTGATGGGGATACCTTGCATTATCACCAATTTATAAAGTCTTTCGAACTTAATATTGATCAAGTGTGTTTGGACGCTAATGTGAAATTAACCCGCCTGGTGCAGTATACCAAAGGTCCTGCCAAAGACGCTATTTGCGGCTGTTTGTTGATTGGTGGGGACAAAGGTTACACACAAGCTTTGCAGATTCTAAAGGAACGATTTGGAAACCCTCATTTAGTAGCAGAGAGAATCATTTCGGATTTAAAAAGACAGAAACCTGTCAGGTCCCCAAGCGAAGTTCAGCAGTTGGCCGATGATTTAAGAAATGCAGAGTTAATTTTGAATCAGTTGAACATGCTTGCTGAAGTCAGCTCACAGTCCACAATTCTTGATATCGTCTATCGCTTGCAGCCCTATGTTCGGATAATGTGGAAGAATCGTGCACTGAAAATTAAGAGGGCAAAAGGGTATTATCCTGCTTTCGCTGATTTGGTTAAGTTTGTTGCAGAACGGGCTCTAGAGAGTAATGATCCGGTATATGGGGTTTTATCATTTAAAAGGGAAACCGCAGGTAAATCCAGAATCCAATTTTCTACGTCTCATGCTATAACTGCCAGTGCAGGTGGTAATGGTAATTCCGCTAGTGCTCCAGCTATGCGCTATAATGCAAATTGTGCTAGGCCACAACCAGCTTGTGTTCTGTGTAGTGAATATCACAGGTTGTGGCGTTGCGAGTTGTTTAAACGTATGTCAGTTAAGCAGCAGATAGATCTGGTTAAGAAGTATAGATTGTGTGAAAACTGTCTTCTGCCTTGGCATAGTGCACAAAATTGTGGGAAAAGATCGGTGTGTTTTGTCACAGGTTTTGGAAAGAAACATACTATGTATATTCACAATGTTGGTGATCAGTCAGTATCGGTAAACCGAAGCAGAAGTGTGTCAAATGCAAGTATGTCCTCGGACAGAGAAACATATATGCCCATTGTACAGGTATTGGTTAACAATGAGGTCCTAGTCAATGCACTACTGGATACAGATGCTAGCAACTCCTTCTGTTCGAGTAGTTTGGCTAATCAGTTAAGCTTGACAGGAAAGACAGTGTCATATCATTTAAGTACTTTGTGTAAATCAGCTCCAACGAAATCTCAGATGGTGAATTTATCATTGTCATCCGGTAATGGTGAATGTTTAGACATGTCTGGTGTATATGTGATTGGTAGAATACCTGTGAAATCTGCCCATTTGGATGTTAAGGCGTATAAGCATTTGGTTGACATTGATATTGTATCTTGTGAAGTCGAACATGGGGTTGATTTGTGGATAGGGGAAGATCATACTGAGGCCCTTATTCTACTCGAGGTACGTAAAGGTGGCCGAGGTGAGCCTTTCGCTGTTAGAACGCTGTTTGGTTGGTGTATCAATGGTCAATCTCCAGTTGGTAAGATCGGTCGTACAGTTGTGTCACATTTTGTAAGTGCTTTGTCTGCTCCAATTGTTGATAACATACATGCACTGTGGAAGAATGGAAATGAGGGAAGAGATGCTGATGATGAGATAATGACAGAGAGAAGAGATGCTGATGATGAGATAATGACAGAGGGAAGAGACGCTGATAATGAGATAACGACAGAGGGAAGAGATGCTGATAATGAGATAATGATAGGGGGAAGAGATGCTGATAATGAGATAATGATAGAGGGAAGAGATGCTGATGATGAGATAATGATAGAGGGAAGAGATGCTGATAATGAGATAATGATAGAGGGAAGAGATGCTGATAATGAGATAATGATAGGCGGAAGAGATGCTGATGATGAGATAATGATAG